AGTGCAATGTCTATCAAAATCTTAATGACATTTTTGGCAGAAATAGAAAAACCCAGGGTGCCTGGGTGGCTCAGTCAGTTAAGTGTCCCACTTTAGCTCAGGTCACGATCTCAGTTCGTGGGTTCAAGCCCCGCGTCGGGCTCTGTGCTGACAGCTCAGAGCCTGGAGCCCGCTTTAGATTCTGTGTCTCCCTCTGTCTCTGTCCCTCCCCTACTTGTGCTGTCTCTCTCAATCTCAAAAATAAATAAACATTAAAATTTTTTTAAAAATAGAAATTGAGGGGCGCTTGGGTGGCTCAGTCGGTTAAGCGGCCGACTTCGGCTCAGGTCACGATGTCACACTCCGTGAGTTCGAGCCCCGCGTCGGGCTCTGTGCTGACCGCTCAGAGCCTGGAGCCTGTTTCAGATTCCGTGTCTCCCTCTCTCTGACCCTCCCCCATTCATGCTCTGTCTCTCTCTGTCTCAAAAATAAATAAACGTTAAAAAAAAAATTTTTTTTTTAAATATATAGAAATTGAAAAGCCCATACTAAAATACATATGAAATCTCAAGAGACCCTCCCCCCCAACCCCAGATAGCCAAAACAGTCTTAAAAGAACAACAACAAACTTGAAGATTCAGACTTCCTGATTTCATAATTCTCTACAAAGCTACAGTAACCAAAACTTGTGCTGTTGGTATAAACACATATATAAGACCAATGGAATACAAAACTACAGTGAGATATCATCTCACACCTGTCAGAATGGCTAAAATCAAAAACAAGAAACAAATGTTGATAATCATGTGCAGGAAAAAGGAACCCTCATGCCCTGTTGGTGGGAATGCAAATTGGTACAACCATTGTGGGAAACAGTATGCAGGTTTCTCAAAACATTAAAAACAGAACTGCCCTATTATCCAAGAATCACACTACTGGGTATTTATCCAAAATATACAAAAACACTAATTCAAAGGGATATGTGCACGAGTGCACCCCTATGTTTATTGCAGCATTATTTACAGTAGCCAAACTATATAAGCAGCCCTAGTGTCCATCAATAGATGAATGGATTAAAAAAAAGTGGTATGTATATAAAGTGGAATGTTATTCAGCCATAAAAAAAAGAAAATCTTGTCATTTGCAACAACATGAATAGAGCTGGAAAGTATAATGCTGAACTAAGTAAGTCAGAGAAAGAGAAATACCATATGATCTCACTCATATGTGGAATTTAAGAAACAAAACAAATGAGTAAAGGAAAAAAGAGACAAGAAACAGACTGTCCTATAGAGGACAAACTAATGGTTACCAGAGGGAAGGTGAGTAGAGGGATGGAGAAAATAGGGGATGGAGATTAAAGAGTACACTTATCATGATGGGGAAAAAAATGAAATTTAAAAGACCAATGGAGTAGAATAAAGAGGTCAGAAGTAAACTGCCTTATATATGACTTTTGACAAGGATGCAAAACCATTCAGTGGGGGAAAGGGCAGTCTTTGCAACAAATGGTGCTGGGAAAACTGGTTATCTATATGTAAAAGAATGAAGTTGGACCCTTACCTAACACCATATACAAAAATTAACTCAGAATGGATCAATGACCAATGTAACAAAAGTAAAATGTAACAATGTAACAGAGTAAAACTCTTAGAAGAAAACAACATTGGATTTGGCATTGATTTATTGGATCTGATACCAAAGGCACAGGTAACAACAAAAGCAGATTAGATTCCATGAATATTTTAAAGTTTTGTATATCAGGGGCACCTGGCTGGCTCAGTCTACGGAACGTGTGACTCAGGGTTGTGAGTTTGAACCCCATGTTTGGTGTAGAGATTACTTAAAAATAAAATATTTTTTGTCTAAGCTTATTTACTTTGAGAGAGAGAAAACAACAAAGGGAGGGGCAGAGAGAGGGAGAGGCAGAATCTGAGGCAGCCTCCGTGTTGCCAGCACAGAGCCTGACACCTGGCTCACACTCACTAACTGTGAGATCATGACCTGAGCCAAGATCAAGAGTCGGACGCTCAACTGACTGAGCCACCCAGGCGCCTCTTATTATTTTTAAAAGATTTTATTTTGGGGGCGTCTGGGTGGCTCAGTCAGTTGAGCATCTGACTCTTGATTTTGGCTCAGGTTGTGATCCCAGGGTTGTGGGATAGAGCCCCATCCCATGTCAGGCTCCACGCTAGGCATGAATCCTTAAGATCTCTCTCCCTCTGCTCTCCCCCAACTCACAGACTCATGCTCTCTCTAATAATAAGGGGTGCCTGGGTGGCTCAGTCAGTTAAGCATCCGACTTCAGCTCAGGTCGTGGTCTCCTAGTTTGTGGGCTCAAACTCCGTGTTAGGCTCTTGGCTGGCAGCTCGGAGCCTGGAGCTTGCTTCAGATTCTGTGTCTCCCTCTCTCTCTGCTCTCCCTCTCTCTCTGCTCTCCCCTGCTTGCACTCTTTCTCTCTCTCAAAAATAAACATTAAAAAATATAATAATACAGTTTTGTATATCAAAAGACACTATCTACAGAGTACAAAGGCAATCCACAGAATGGGAGAAAGTATTTGCAAATCATATTATCTAATAAAGGATTAATATCCATTATATAGAGAGAACTAAAACAACAAAGGAGACAACTCAATTCAAAAATGAGCAAAGGACTTGAATAGACATTTCTCCAAATAAGATATAGCTGATAAGCACATGAGAAGATGCTAACATCACTAATCATTAAGGAAATGCAGATGAAAACTACAATGAGATCCCATCTCACATGCATTAGGATGGCTATTGTCAGAAAAACAAGTTGCTGACATGGACATGGAAAAATTGGAACTCTCAAACTGTTGGTGGGAATTAATGTAAAAGGGCACAGCTGCTGTGGAAAATAGTATGGTGCTTTCTCCAACATTAAAAATAGAGTTACCATATGATCCAGCCATTTCACTTTTGGGTATATACCGCTTCCTTGATGAAGTACTTGTACACTCATGTTTATAGTAGCACTATTCACAGTAACTAAAATGTGGAAGAAACCTAAGCACCCATCAGTGGATGAATGGATAAGCAAAATATGGTCTATAAATATAAAGGAGGGGCAACTGGGTGGCCCAGTTGGTTAAGCATCCAACTTCAACTCAGGTTACCATCTCACGGTCCGTGAGTTTGAGCCCCCACATCGGGCTCTGTGCTGACTGCTCAGAGCCTGGAGCTGCTTTGGATTCTGTGTCTTCCTCTCTCTCTGCCTGCCTCTCTCTCTCTCTCTCTCTCTCTCTCTCTCAAAAAAAATAATAAACACAAAATAAATTTAATATAAAGGAAGGAAATTCTCCAGTATATTACAACATGGATGATCCTTGCAGGCATTATACTAAGTGAAATAAACCAGTCACAAAAAGACAAATTCTGTATGATTCCATTTACATGAGGTACTCAGTGTTCAAAATTACAGAGACAGAAAGTATAATAGTGGTTGCCAGTGGCTGAGGAGATGAGAATGGGTAGTTATTTTTAATAAAGTTTTGATTTCACAAGTTGAAAACAATTGCAGGATTAGATGGTGGTAATGGTTGCACAACAATGTGAAGATACAAATGCCAGTGAACTGTATGCTTAAAAATGTTTAAAATAATAACTTCTATGTTATGTATATTTTTTCACAATTTTAATTAATTTTCTAAAATCCATGTAAATGTGCCACATTAACAGATTTTAGGATCCAAAACATATGAGCATTTTAACAAATGCAGAAAAAGCATTTAATAAAATTAACATCCATTCATGACAACAAACATTTCGCAAACTGTGAACAGAAGGTAATTTCCTTAATCTGACAAAGGTCATTTACAAAATATCAAAGCAAGCATTGGTGCACCTGGGTGGTTCAGTCACTTGAGCATCCAACTCTTGATTTCGGCTCAGGTCATGATCCCAGGGTTGTTGGATCGAGCCCCACATTGGGCTCCACACATAACTTGAAAAAGCTAAAAAATTGCTTTAAAAATTCTCTCTAGGGGCATGTAGGTGGCTCAATCAGTCAAGTGTCCAACTTTGGCTCAGGTCATGATCTCATAGTTCGTGAGTTTGAGCCCCACATCAGGCTGTCTGCTGTCAACACAGCACCCACTTTGGATCCTCTGTCTCCGCCCCCCCTCCCCTGCTCATTTTCTCTCTCTCTCTCTCTCTCTCTCTCTCTCTCTCTCTCTCTCAAAAATAAACATTAAAAAAAGTCTTTCTCTCTCCCTTTGACATTCTTCCCTGCTCACACTGTTTCTAATATACATACATATACATATATGCAAACATCATATTTAATGATGAAATATTGAACGCTTTCCCTTTAAGTTGGGAACAAATTCTCATATACCTATCATCCAGCTGCAGCAATAATTACCAGCTATGACCAATCTTGTTTCATCTATCCCACCACCTCCCTACCCCTCCGCACCAGTTTATTTTGAAACAAATCCCAGACATTATATGGTTTTATCTATATATTTCAGTATATGTTTGAAAGATAAGAATTCTGTTATTGGAAAACCTCTCTATGGTGATGGTTCAGCTTCTGACTCTTGATTTCAGTTCAGGTCATGATCTCCAAGCCCTGTGTTGGGCTTGGGATTGTCTCTGTCCCTCTTTCTCTGCCCTTCCCCTGGCCTGTGCTTTCTCTCTCTCTCTCCCAAAATAAATAAATATTTAAAAAATAAAAATAGGGGCACCTGGGTGGCTCGGTTGGTTAAGCATCCAACTTCAGCTCAGGTCAGGATCTCACGGTTTGTGAGTTCAAACCCCACGTCAGGCTGTGTGCTGACAGCTGGGAGCCTGGATCCTGCTTCATTTTGTGTCTCCTTATCTCTCTACCCCTCCCCCTTTCTCTGTCCCTCTCTCTCAAAAATAAACATTAAAAAAAATTAAAAGCTTAAAAAGAAAACATCTCTATGATGTCACACCTAAAACAACTTTTTATATCATCGGATAGTTCAAATTTTCCTGATTGTTTCATAAGTTTTGCTTATGTTTTTTCAGTTGGTTTGAATCAAGTTCCAGGTGAGATCTACTTGTGACAGTTGGTTGTTAAGTATTTTAATCTATAGACTCTCCCTCCATCTCTCTTTTTTTTTCAATTTATTCGTTAAATCATTTCTTCTGCAAAGTTCTCCCTAGACTATATTTTGCTGATTGCCTTCTCATGGTGTTCTTTGATATGTTCATGTGTCTCCTTTGTTACCTGTAAATTGGTAGGTAGATCTTAATATGAAATTTTGATAGAGTGAAAACTATGACATTAAGGCTTAGTTTTTTTGGCTGCCTTGAGCCAATGCAAAAGTGTGTTGAAACCCAGTGTCATTCCAAGCATAAAGCTATATACTTAGTGACTGAATCCAATGTTTTTTTTTAGAGAGAGAGTGGGGTAGGGGCCGAGGGAGAGAGTATCCTAAGCAGGCTCCACGCTCAGCACAAAGTCTGATGCAGGCCTCGATTCTGTGACCCTGAGATAATGACCTGAGCTGAAATCTAGAATTGGACACTCAACTGACTGAGCCACCCAGGCACCCCTAAATCTAATTTTTAATGACATATATATATTCTCAACAAACCTCAACTTTTCATGATTTTATGTTTTATGTGTCTCTTCTAATTCGTCATCTTTTTTCAAAAAGTATTATAATGTATTAATTAGCAATTCCTAAATTTATTTGCACAGGGAAATGAATAAGCGTCTGACAGAAGAACAAGCCAGAAAGACATTTGAGAGAGCCATGAAACTGGAACAAGAATTTACTGAACATTTCACAGGTTGGCATCATGTGTGTCAGTGTCCTAATAGAATTTTGATTTGGAGCCATATGAACTGACCTATTGAAATGGATTTTGAACTATGCCCACATTTATCAGTAATTATTTACCGTGGCTAATACTAGGTATTAATACTATGTAATTAATACTGTGGTTTTCAGAATAATTCCTCTAATTTAGGCAGTGCTGATGAGGAATCTTGAAATTTAGTGTTTCTTAAGTTGCTGATTAGGACATACTAGACTGGAGAAAAATAGATTCAGACTTGATTTCTTCTGTGAAACTGACTTTTCCCTTACGCTTCATAAATTTTGATCCATTTTAAGATACTATTAAAAAGAAATGAGTGGGTAGCAATTCCCAAATCTCCCATTCATTTTGTCCTTTAAAGTATTCCTCAGGTGTTCATAAGTACATCACATGCCTTGGTGTTGTAACTCCAGTGCTTTTTTCCTTCTTTTTTTAAAATAATTTCAGACTTCTAGAACAATCACAAGAATAGTATCAGCAATTCTCATACACTTCTCACCTATATTTTCTAAATGTTAACATTTTACCACATTTAATTTTTTCTGAAACATTTAAGAGTAACTTGCAAGCAGATGCCCCTTTGCCTCTAGATGCTTCAGTGTGTATTTTCCAAATACACAAAACTAAGTAAAAATTGCCAAGTCTCATTTTCAATCAGCATTTAAAATGAAAATTCTTACATTTTTCAAATATGAAAATTAATGAAATGAGCACTTACTACTAAGCAAACAATACATAAATGGTCTCTTGCTGGATGAATAACTAGTTCTAAGATCTAGCTTCTATTTCACCAATGATTGTGATGGTAAAGATAGACAGTTAATGGAGGTTTCTGATTTTGTTTCTGTTACAGCTATTGTACAGGGAGATACGCTGGAAGACATTTACAACCAAGTGAAGCAGATCATAGAAGAACAGTCTGGTCCTTACATATGGGTTCCAGCAAAAGAAAAGTTATGAAGACTGATGTTTCTCGGTTTCTCTTTTCCACGATTTCATTTTCTTTGACATTTCTTTGCCCTTTCCTTTTGGAGTCTGTCTGCAATACTCCTTCCATGTTGAATCATATCCCACTCATCATGGTCTATGGTTGTGCTTAGTTTTGACATCTGGTGTCTCCTTCAAGTTGTAGCATCTGTATTACTTTATGTCGCTATTGGTTTGTGGCCATTTTTCAGAACTAAAGGTGGAATGGCCTGACCAGCTATTAAGGATTTGGGGAGACTGGGAAATTGTGGTAAAATTCCTTAATGTTTAAGGGAAAGTAACTTTAAGAGATTTTCAGAAAAGCTTTATATACATTCTTTTCAAATTTCAGTATAAATGAAAGAAAAGTGGTGTTAAACAGTGATTTAGTAAACTTTGAGCAACAGTGCACGCTTAACTTTAATAGCATGGTTTGGCCAATATATTAACTCTCAAGTCCTTTTCTCAGTTGACTTGTGTTATCAAAGCCAATATTTCATTATAGACAAATAAGGAAAATATGTGGTTTTTAATTTCAAAATTAATGTCTGCGTTAACTTGCATAATTTCACAAGGGATATTCATTTTTCATAAGAGTTCTTCAAGTCTTTTATTGTTTGAGGGTTCTTAGTACATTTGCTAGGAATAGCAGTGTTTAAATGTTTTTAATCTACTTGTGCAACACTATTTATAGTGTCTTACAAAAGTTGTTCAAACATAATGATCATCACAGTTTCTGAATTGAGGCCATGTTTAGGTGCTAGGGGAGCTCACCTTTTACACAGAAGGTTGAGAAAATTTCATAGACGTAAATACAGGCAGAACAGACATTCTAGTGATGATGTAGTACTCATGGCAATGGAAAAGGAGTCCAATTCATAGTCTAAAACTTTAAATGTATTCTTAGGGATCAGATTTTAATGAATATTTTACCCACAGTAACTGCCTATTTTGTTATAATAAAATATATATATATATATATATAAATATATATAAAACTTTCTTTAACTAAACTCTGTAACTATGGGAATTATTTTCTTTACATAGTTGCACACACACACAAACATATATATATTTAAAATATATTTTTTCTTTTGCCACCTACTCTTAACTTTTTGTTTGGTTTTTAAATTAAATATTAATTGATTAGACTTTATCTTCCTTAATCACGTGAACTGAAAACAGGGATATGGTGGTTGTGGAAAGAACCTTTAGGGAAATTAGATTACATACAAAAGTATAGGCATGTTCTCCTCTTTTCTTCAAAAGTTTTCAGATGGTTCCTGGTTTTGTTTTGGGTTTCTTTGTTACTGTTGTTCTTGTCATTGGGTTTGGATTTGGCCCTCTGCCTCTCCTTCCACTTCTCCTTTCACTGGTAGACAAAGAAGGAAAAGCCTTGTGTGTGTGTTTTCCCTTCAGACTGCACACCTTTCACCTCTTGTAGCTGCTCTGCATTAGAGTTGCACAGATCTTCATGGTGGGCAATTTTAAGAAATTTTAGTGAAAGGTAGATGTGATTTCAGAAATCAACTTCTCTGGTCTTTTATATTAATAATATTGTTTGCCTTCCTTTTGCTTTTTGGAGTTTATTAAATATGTGTTTTTGACAACCTCCTCATTACAGTTTCTTAAACAAATGAGTACTGGTTTGTAAAGGATTATCAACATTATCCATTCCATTTATGAGAAAGAGGAGAACAGCTAATAAACTTTATTGTAAAATCCATATGTTAAATGTGTCTTGAATTCTGAAAGAAAATAATATTTTACAAGCTGACATTTTCTTCAAACTTGGAGCATCATGTAATTTACAAACAGACTTCATGGGCCATTAGGAAACCTAATCAAATTTCTTCTATAGGTTTTGGAATTGAGTATGTTAACACATTGAAATATATACTATGGCTATAATGCTAATTATAGTAAGTTGTTACCAAACATAAAACAACTAGAAGAAAATTATTGTAAAATGAGCCCAAGAGCCCCAGAATCACTCTGCAGCAAGACCCCAGCCAGCATAAGCCATTTTGAAGTATTTATTGGTTACATGTTATAAAATACCAAGAGATTATGAAAACAGTGCCATTTAACTCTTAATGTGTATTACATTGCTTTCGGATGTCCTTGTTAAGTGATGTTTTTGTAAGAAAATACTAACTTTTGTGCAACTTTCTAGATTGTATAGAATTATTAATAAAAGTACTAATTGCTTAGTACTACTGTGTAATAGCCACTTTAGTATATTATCATTTAATTTTAAAAGATAAGAATTTAAGAGTTACTAGCCCCTCTGTGAAATCACTTGCCCAAGTGACAAGCTAGTAAGCAGCAGTGCTTGGTGTTTGTATCCAAGTCTTTCTGCCCCAAGTTCTTTCGAATCTACCTTGTTTTTCAGCCCCTACTGTGTAAGGCACTGTGACTCAAATTGTGTTATTTTAGTGCCCCTTTACAGAGACAGACTTAGATGAAGGCCCTTGCCCAGAGTCACACAGTAAGTAAGGACAGACCCATGGAACAAGTCATTCCTATCACAGCTGAAATGACTGTTTCTGAGAAAGAAGTCAGCCTAGCACTGTCACAGTGACCTACAAAAAACTTCTTTAGAACCAAAAATGGAACGGTATTCATTAGAAGAAAAAAAAAAGTCCACAATACACAGGGAATAACAGTATTTCAAATGTTTTATGAGATACTCATATTTTTTAATATGCTTCTTAATATTTTTAAGTTGGCAAAAATAAAAGTGCCTCTTAAATGTGACTACACATTTCTCGTTGCTTTTTTGTTCCACATCTTCCCAAGGGTCTTCAAAAAATGATGGAAGCAAGCTTGCAGAACAGATTCTTACAAATACCTGATAACCCACTATTTACTATTTAAATTCCAAAGATGGCAATTTGGGGACTTTACTCATAAGAAAAGTTTGTTTTCTAAAGTATCAGAGTCAACAACTTACCTTCCAAAATTCTATCTTGAATACTCTTAATTTACATATGGTAAAACAAGCCCAGAGATCCTCATGTTTTAACCAAAGTTACACTACAGTTCAGGAACATTAGAACGTTTGATTCCTGGTTCCTTGAACAGTTGGTTTGTCTACCATCCAGTTCCTTGTCTTCTGTGCTCTAAGCTGAATTCAGTGGGTTATTCAGTCCCTCAAGGTTTGAGTTACTGACTAAAAGAAAGTAAATATCAATAAACTTAAGAGATTTTATTGAGAGGTCTGAATTTGAAAGCCATCAGGGAAGAACACGAATGTCACTTTTCTGACCTCAGTTTAGATTATCTGGTGTTTTAGTCCAATGTTAAAGTCTCCATTTATCTGCCTCCGGAATTGCACAGTACAGCTCTCGTTGGCTTTGGCTGTGGAATACTACAATGTGAAGAATGTAGGCTGTGGAATCAGAGTTTCATTTGAATACCAGCTTGGCCACTCACTGGTTATGTAACTAACCATGGGCAAATCATGCCATCCCTCTTTCTGTTTACTTCTCTGTAAAGTGGAAACATTTTGAGAATAAGATTATAAATAAGGGAGGCTAGCACATAGTACCTTCTAAAAGTTAATTCCCTTTTCCTCTAGAATCAGAAGCCTGGAATTGTTGCAACTCACCTTGTACAGATTACCTTGAGCCTTCATTTTGCCATATTTTAAACGGGGTTTGAATGACTACCTTGCAGGATTGTTATAAAGGTTAAGTAAAGCAGTGTGTACAAAAACTGATCACAACATCTGATGCTTGACTCTCACTACCTATTCTTCCCTTGCTCTGGAGTGTGTTTATGATTGGTAGCAGAAAACTGAGAGAATAACATGGTCCACCATTCTTCATCAACTATAGAGAAATTTTCTTTGATGGACTTTCAGTTAGGAAATTACTTACTTTTCAGTACCCTATCATCCAGCTTACTCATCTCTTCTAAGCGTCCCTACTCCAGAGATGTCAGAGATTGGCCTGCTCTACCTCAACCTTAAACATGGAAGGCCTCAAGATCTTCTAAGCCATTCTCACACCTGCACGGTACTAGACACAACAGTCCCTGGCAGTTTTACAGAACATTCATTATTGAGAGTCTAGAAACAGGCCTGAAAAACGATTATTTAAATCACACGGGTAAGATACATCTTCTCTTATTTAATTTGACTTAGAATAGTCACTACTTACTCAGTGATTACTTTCTCAGTGACTTTCCACTACCAGCTCTTTCTTCATTCTCCTCCAAACATGATTACCTGAGAGATGGCAAAAAAAAAAAAAAGGAAGAAAGAAAGAAAGTTCTAGTCTGCCAAACAGCGTTGTGAACAGAATTGGTGGTCAGGTAAACCAAAGTTTGAAACTTTTAGGAATAGGTAGCACACCTGACCAGGGAGAGTTTAACACTACAATTTTTCTAGCAGTTTCTATCAACATACAAGAGCAGTACACTGGTGGGGGAAGATGAGGGGAAGGAGACTAGAAGGCAGTGAAGGCTGGAATTCTCTCCCAGTGTCTTTTTTGTTTACTTGTTATTGAAGTATACATATGTAGAATGTATGAATATCATAAGCACATAACCTCACTGAATGTTTACAAACCAACATTACGTAACAATCTGCATGAAGCTCAAAAAACAACGTGACCACTCCAGGTACCCCCCTCAATCTCCCTCCCAGTCACTGCTCCTACTCCAAAGGAAGCCACTACCCTAACAAATATTTTTTTTTCATTTATGTACAGTAAAATTCTCTGTGGTGTTCAATTCTGTGAGTTTTGACCCATGCATACCATGTAACCATCCCATTACCCCCAAAACTGCTACCCCCAACTTGCAACCACTGGTATTTCTCAGTGCCTATAGTTTTGCCTTTCCCAGAATGTCATATAAATGGGACTATATCCCATGTAGCATCTTGGGTGTGGCTTCTTTGACTTTGCAAAATGCATCAGGTTTATCCGTGTTGCTGTAGGAATCAATAGTTTGTTATTGCTAAGTAGTAGTTCATTTTACAGAGG